AGGCCAGTAAATAGGCATTTTCTGGGGCTTGGAACGAATTAATCCAGTTTCCATTATTTCCTATTGGGTTTCATTGCTTCGGTTCTCGAACAATTTGGTTCTCGACCGTCCTCCTGGAACGAATTATGTTCGAGAACCGAGGTATCACTGTAGTCCAATAGGGCAGTGAGTGAGAAGCCTCCTTTCTACCTCCATACCCAGGACCCTCATGACCCAGCAAGACCATCAGTCCTCAAAGAGGTGATAACACCACCAAGAGGGGGTGGGCAAAAAAATCTGGTTCTATGTATAAAGTTCAGATTTACATAGATTATATAAACATATATATATATAAAGTATATCTGAGGTATTAAACTTTCCTACAAAATATGAGGAAAAAAATGTCTATACTGATTGCCCCTTTAGGCGTAATAATGAAATCAAGCTTCAGAAACTATCCTAGAAGCAACCACTATTGAGGTTTCTTCTTAGATCTGCCAGGGATATTCTAGGCATGTTCAAGAAAATACCTACATATCTATTTGTTCCTGTTTTTACATAAATGATAGCATACCAATGGAACTTCATTTTTTCACTTGAAATATATCTTGGTGACCACTCCATGGTAAGTGAACACAGCTCGCTGGTTTCTTCTTTTACAACTGTGTAGTATTCCTCTGTTTGAATGAAATTTACTTAACCCTTTCTCATGGATCAACGCATAACATTGGACACACATACATTATTGTATGTGCTGCAGTGTAGACTGGATAACTGCACTTACATCATTTTGCATATGAGTGATTAAATCTGAAGAAGAAATTCCTGGAGGTGTGATAGCTGGGTCAGAAGATGCATGCATTTCTCACCTATGTCCTACAGAAGATTTGTACCAATTTCCTTCTTCGTCATCAGGGCAAAAGCGTGCCAGTTTACCCACAGCCTCACCTACATAAGGTGTTATCAGATCTTTTGATCTTTGCCTATCTGATGAGTTAAAGGAGGTAGTATCACAGTATAGTTTTAATGTTCATTTCTCTTATGAGTTTGAAAATCTTCTCCTGTGACTAAGAACCATTTTTCTTTCTTTGTTAGCTCAAGGTTTATATTCTTTGCTAACTTTTCTATAGACTGCTATAGTATTCTTCTTATTAGATGATATTATGAACATTATTGCTCTTATGAGTTATAGTCACTCTGATTGTCTTTGTCTTTTAAAGATTATTGTTTTATGTTTCATTTATCTTGACCTTTTCCAGGGTGTGTTTTCACCTTCTAGATTTTCTTTTAATGTTTACATAAACTCACCTGTTTTAGTCATTTCTTTTATGGCATCTGAACTTTGTGTCCTACTGAAAAAGGGGCTACCTTTGAACAGATGGGAACTGGGGCCCTGGCTGGTGTGGCTCAGTTGGTTGAGTGTCCCTGCATACACTGTGAGGTCACCAGTTTGATTCGGGGTCAGGGAACATGCCTGGTTTGTGGACAGGATCTCCAGTAGGGGGTGTACAGGAGGCAATCCATTGGCAATTCATCGACAGTTCTCCCTCATTGATGTTTCTCTCTCTCTCCCTCATCCTTCCTCTCTCTCTCTCTAAAATCAATAATAAAACATTTTTTTTTTTAAAGAAAAAGTGGGAACTGGAAAGGATCATTCTGACAAGACAGATTATTAGGTACAATAATCCTGAGGTAGGAGGGGGAACTTGGCAGGTATGTTACTCAGGGTTCTCTAGAGAGAGAGAGAGAAAATAAGATGTATGTGTAAAGAAAGAATGATTTACTTTCAAAAAACTGGCCATATGATTGTGGAGGTTGACAAGTTCCAAATCTGTGGGATATGCTGGCAGGCTGGAGACCCAGGAAGAATTGCAGTTTGAGTCCAAAGCAGTCTGCTGGCAGAAGCCCTCTTCTTTGGGTGAGGTCAGTCTGTGATCTATTAGGGCCTGCAGTGGATCAGATGAGGCCCATTCACATTATGGGTGACCATTCATTTTACTGAAAGTCTATTGATTTAAATATTAATTCCTCTAAATAAAATACCTTCACAACAACATCTAGACTGGCATTTTATCAAACATCTGAACACCTAGCCTAGCCAGGAAGACACATACAATTAACCATCACAAGTCCACCCCTTGTCAACCTAGCACACACACATCTCCTTACACCATACTTTTGTAGTACACGATGTGCGGTCCATGCTTCTCTCACTGCCCCCACATGGAGAACAGACCCCATGGTTGTGTGTGGGATAGAGGAGATCAGAGTCTCTGATGCTTTCAGGGCTCTGGGTGGAGGAGGGACAGGCAGGCAGAGAGTGCACAGGGTTGCCCGTGACTCCTGGGATGAGGTGAGATTTCTAACAGACTTGAGGAAGTAAGCTCCCCATCCCTGGAGTGTGCAAAAGGGAGGGGCATGTGTCTGAAGGGTTGTAGAATAAATTTATGCCACAAGTAGGATATGGAGTTGGGGAACCTTAGTCTGGTCTAAATGAGAGTCCACTTAGCAGCCAAGGGGTGGTGGAGGTTTCTGCATCCTCCTTGCTTCCTGTAGCATTGGAGATGCCTGCCCACATTTCTTCTCTCTCTCTCTCTCTCTCTCTCTGTTGTGTGTGTGTGTATGTGTGTGTGTGTGTGTTTTGCCACCATAGTGTGAGGTGGGTTTCTCCTGAGGTCTGGGATGACTGGTCTGTCAGTCATTGTGGTTCTAAATTCAAGGCTCTCAGTATCTTGAGCTTGGAGGTGCTGCCCTGGTGGGAAAAATGAGAAGTTATACCTTACTACCCTGTAATTTTCTGGGGGTTCTTGAGGATTCTACAGACTGAATAAGTCAGCCAGGTGGGGGGGGGGGGTAAGGCATGGGGTCCAATCCTGTATATTTGTGATCTGGAGATATTGGCCTGACTGTGGGTCCCTACCTCCAGCTGAGGACCACCTGCCAACCAGGAATGGGACTGGGCACAGTGAGACAGGGTGGGTGGGGATAACTAGGGCCCTTACCCTCACCTTGTCTGATAGTAGAAGGGGTGGGGAATGATGAGTGGGGTGGCCTGAAAGATCCACAGATAAATGCGCTTCCACTCAGGATAATTTCTGCATATGAACTGTGCCGGCAGGTGAATCACAGACAGAAAGACTCAGGGAGAGAGAGTAGAGAGAGCCTGTGTAAGAGGTTCAGTAAATATTGACTGGCTCAATGAATGAAGGAATGGATAATTCCTTGACTGGGTAAGAGAGGAGCCAACTTGAACATAGATGAGCTCTGGCAGCTTGTGTTTATTTTGTTGATTAACTGAAATGTGTCCGGTTCAAGGATGGGGTTCTGGTTTTTATTGTGCTGTAGGACCTGAAGGCAGAGAGAAGGTCCTGCCTGCAGCAGGACTCCAGGGTGGCTGAGGATGATGGCAGAGGGAAGAGCAGAGATCCACCCTTCCCTGTGTGGAGAACGCCCAGCCTCCTCTAAGGCTGGACTCCAGACCCCTGCAGGGAAAGGGTGGGGTGGGAGAGACCTCTATGGTATCCTCAGGGCAGGTTGCAGAGAAAGCCCCTGGGGCAGTATCTCAGGAACGTTGGATATGACAAGGGTCTCAAGGTCTGGGCAGTTCTTTCTAAATGCTCTTCTTGATAATGTTAAAATGTAACAGTATTTTTCAGATTCAGCTGAAACCTTATGAGCTTGACCAGAACCCAATAAGTTTATCCAACTGCCAACAAGAAATCAACATGTGATTAACAAAATAGTGTATATAATCAATGGTAAAGCCTCCTTTCTGAGAGACAGAGCTTTGGATGTGAATCCCATTTTTTTTTTTTTACTTGCTTTAAGTAAATAGTAAAACTACCTAAGGACAACCACATTTCATTCCTGAATAGAACACCGCAAGTTGTGAACCCCTTGAGGTTAAGTACAGGAACAGGCTGAGCAAGGTCTGGGAGGATAGAGTGAACTTGGAATAAACTACTAGCAGAGTGGAGGGAGATGGGGAGAGAGAGCCCAGAATAGTAGGTCACTAGGGATCTATGTGGAGGTGGAGGGAGGAGCCAATGGCCTACCCCACCTGAGATATCAGCCCCAGGTCATGCTGGGCTGGGCAGCGCTCTGAACAACACTGCCTATTGTTGTCTAAACTAATGGGATGGGCCCAAGGGCTGGTCCTTGGGGTGAGTTCTGGGGAGTCTGAAATCCCAGGGTGGGTATCCTGGATGTTCATCATGCGGTGATCCTGGGAGAGGGTCTTTGAGGGTCAGAATGTAGGGTATGGCCTAGACATTAGTGGGGTCACCACAGGATGATCCTGGAGGCTGGAGCCTTTGGGAGGGGGTGAGAAATTGGGTCAGGAGGTGCACTGTGAGATGGGCCATGTGGGTGTACTTCTGGGCAGACTTAGGGCAAGGTGTTGAGTTGAGAGCATTGGGGGCCAACCTGGGTCTTTGGGGGTCTCAGAACGTCAAAGTCTTGGATAATTTAGGATAATCAGGGGAAATCAACTAGGAGGTAAATTCGGGGTGCCCAGAACCAGGAATGTCTTAGCGAGTGGATTCTGGGGGTTATGTTTGCAGGCATTAGAAATAGGGCACAGATTATAAGGGTAGACCCAGGGGGCTGGAACATTCATGGAAAGATTCTGGGAGAGGGGTTGGAGCATTCTGGTGTAAGTTCATTGGAGAGGAACAGATTATGGATGGAAGTGGGTTTGGGGGTCATTGACAGACTTATCAGTTGGATGAATTGGGGGGCTTAAAGCCTGGGGAATCTTGGGGGTGGGGTTATATCAAAAGAAGATCATGGGGGTGAGAGACTAAGGGGTCCAAGTCTGAGGATATCTTTGGGATGCTTTTGGGTGGGTCTTACACTAAGAATGCCTTCAGGGATGCCAATCATGAAAGATGGGTTTGATAGGGTTAGTGGATCTGTGTCAGCATGGGTCCAGGGGTGGACCAGACTGACCCTGGGGAAAGGCAGGGCAGAGCTGGCTGGGTAGCAGAAGTTTTATTTCCCTTCCCCAAACCCCTCCACGCTCAGTAGCATTTGTTATACACGATGTGGGGTCCCTGCTCCTCATACTGCTCCCTCAGGACCCAGCAGGACTGGAAGGAGCACAGTGAGGCTAGGATGGAGCCCCCGATCCACACGGAAAAGTTCCGGGTGGGCTGGGCTACCACCACCACGTGTGCCTCGGAGGGCAAACTGTGCAGCAGCTCCTTGCGGAAGCGGTCCTCCAATCCCGTGAAGAGCGAAGAACCTCCGCAGAGCAGCACGTTCTGGGCTATGTCCGCCCGCACCTCCGGGGGCACCTTGTTAAGACTCCGTTTGGCCATGGCGGGGACACCCACGGGCGACAGCCCAGGTATCTCCGGGGGGCTGAACAGCAGCTCTGGGCACTGGAACAGCTCCTTACCCAGCGTGACCATCTGGCCATCGGGCAGCTTCAGGCTCTGCCGGCACTCCAGCTCTGGCCGGGCCTGTTCCTTTTGGAAGTCGGAGGCCACATAGCAATAGCGGTGCTTGATGTCTTCCACAATGTCCAGGTCCTGCTGCCCTAGCGGCAAACCGGAGCCCAGCAGCATCTCCGCCAAAAAGGCGGTCAGGTGGGTGCCTGCCAGGTCGAGGCGCTCGGTGGCGTGGGGCAGGTGGTAGCCCTGGAAGACCGGCACCGTGGAAGTGACTCCGTGGCCCAGGTCCACCACCAGCCCGTTGACCCGCCCGTGCGCATAGACAGACAGCACTGCCTGGGAAGCCACATACATGGCGGGGGAATGCATTGACTCGAAGGCCACCTCTACTAGCTTCTCACGGTTGGTGGAGGGGCTGAAGGGCAGGTCAGAGAACAACAGCGGGTGGTCCTGGGTGGCCACGCAGAGGTCGTGCTCCAGCAGGTGGCGCCAGATGAACTCGGCCGCGAGCCAGTCTACCACGATGCCGTTCTGTACTGGCTTTACCAGCATCAGCTCTGGGCGCTCGCAGGCGGCCTCGCCAATGAAAGTCTCCAGCACCAGCTGCCCCGTGGTGGCCGACTTCTTGGGCTTGCAGCCCACGATGGTGGCCACGGTGTAGGTGGGCTGGGCGTGTCCCGCGAAGCCCACCTTACAGGTGCCTGTGCCCATGTCGATGACCACCGCGCTGGTATTTGGTAACAATCTGTCGCCCACCATGCTGGGGAAGTCCTGCTGTAGGGTCTTGTTCACCAGGATTGAGTTAGAGGTCCCTCTGGGCCTGGGGGTCTCTGGGGCTCAGAGAGTTTGGGGTGATTTGCATCCATGGCTGCAGGTGCGTGGGTGGGCTACTGGACAAGGCTGACCACTTTCCTCTGGGGTGTGGGGTGTGGGGTGTGGGGTGTGGGGAGAAACGGTTGAGGTTGGGCCAGGGGCAGGCACCCGCAGAGACAGGGTACCGGGGCTGGTCTATGACATCAGCCTGCCTGCTGTCCCCTTCAGAAGACTTCACAATGCAGGGCTAGGGGTGGGGTCTTTCCCTGGGGGTGAGCCCCTGGGGCCCCTGCCTGCCCAGAAAGCTCCCAGGGCCTTGGTACTTAAATAGTTGGGCGGATAGGTTTCCGGTTCTAGCATAATACAGTCGATGTGACAGTCAGGCAATCAGATCAGCGTAGTGAGTTCAAATTGATCCAATGTCATCTCTTCCCTGCCCCAGTCACTAATTCAGTAGTGATTTCTTAATAATGATATTCATGTTCTATCATCTCCTTTTCATTTATTAGTAAATTATTCTTTACACATCTTGTGTATTGTTACACAGTAAAGAAAAAGTGAGTTTTAAAACAACCTTCCTTGAAAAAAATCTTCCTAACATATTGAAGTAATAACAGAAGACATCAATAGAAAATTCACACCAAAAATCTTGACCTTTAGTTTTTGATTTTGGATCTTCCTAATTGGTAAATTACCTTGACTTTTGCCTTCTTTTTTGGGATTAGTCCATTTGGGACTATGTAAGTGTGCAACATCATGGCATTTGAAAAGTAATGGTGGGACTCTGCGACCATGTTTGTTTCATTTTATAAGTGTGTGTGTGTGTGTGTGTGTGTGTGTTTACTGCATCTTGTGGTAGTGGTTTTAGGGTAGGCCACTTAGGTTGGGAAAAGTTTTTCCTGAGCATTTTCTGTAGGCTTTATTTTACTCTTGACCAGAATGTCCAAGAGTAGCATTAAAGTACTCCATTTTGTAGAATTAAAAAAAGGTCATAGTCACATTAAATATAGTAAAAACAAAGAAAGCTCCCATAAAACTATCAGCTGGCCCTGGTCAGAGTGGCTCAGCTGATTAAAATATCATCTTATACACAGAAAGGTTGTGGGTTCCTAGTCAGGGCACATACCTGGGTCCCCGGTTTCAGTGAGTCAAGAGGCACACAATTTATGTTTCTCTCTCACATTTCTTTTCTTTTCTTTTCTTTTCTTTTCTTTTCTTTTCTTTTCTTTTCTTTTCTTTTCTTTTCTTTTCTTTTCTTTTCTTTTCTTTTCTTTTCTTTTCTTTTCTTTCTTTTCTTTTTCCTTTCCTTTCCTTTCCTTTCCTTTTCCTTTTCCTTTTCCTTTTCCTTTTCCTTTTCCTTTTCCTTCCTTCCTTCCTTCCTTCCTTCCTTCCTTCCTTCCTTCCTTCCTTCCTTCCTTCCTTCCTTCCTTCCTCCCTCCCTCCCTCCCTCCCTCCCTCCCTTCCGTCCTCCCTCCCTTCTTCTTTCTTTCTTCCTCCCTCCTTCCCTCTAAAATCAATGAACATATCCTTGGGTGAGGATGGAAAAAGAAAAACTATTAGCTGATTTCTCAACATAACTTTTCAGGCCAGAAGATATTGTCACAAAATATTCAAAGTGATGAAAAGCAAAAACCTGTAACTAAGATTACTCTATACAAGAAGGTTATTATTTAGAATCAAAGGAGAGAGGGTCTTGCAAGATAGTGAAGGAGAAATGATCTGAAGCAGGTCTTGATTTCGACCTCGAGCTTTCTGTTCTTGACTCAAATCTGCTTTATAATATCAAGCAGGGAGGGTTGAAGTACAAAAGATCAAAGATAATTATCTAACAAAGGACGGCTTCATTAATCATTGGGTTCAATTTCACACTTTATTTTTATAGAGTAGGAGGAAAATAAGTATGATGGTCAAGACATCAGAGAGGATGAATTGTGATTGTAGAAGTCAGTCTCAACCAAAGCCTGGTTTAAGCATTCCATCCCTTTAAGGATGTACAGTTACATACCCTAGAGGTCAGTTACTAGAATTGCATCTTATCCTGGCAATGCTGTCATCGGAGAGAGGAAACCTTGGAGAAATTCCAACAGGTCTGCTGGCAGAAAAGACTGCAAGGATTCCAGGACTGCAGCAGCACAGGACAACTTGAGACCCTGCCAAAGCCTTGCCAAAACTGACACCAGGTGTTCTCGCTGGTGGTCCACACTTTGGCCCCATGCCCACCCCTGCCCAGTCTTTAGATTTGGCAGAGATGATTCCAGGGTTTGGTCTGGGCATCCCACAGCTCCTCTGCAAATCATTTCTGGTGTCTGAGGAAGATATAATGAAACAAACAGGAATGTAAAAACAGCAACAGAGAGACTGGCAATAGCACTGGTAGCAGATTGCTTTGGATAGTATGGGTATTTTAACAATGTAATTCTATCAATGAGCATGGTATATGCTTTCGTTTATTTATATTTTCTTCAATTTCTTTCTTCAGTGTTTTGGTTTATTGAATACAGGTTCTTTATCTTCATGGTTGAATTTATTTCTAGGTATTTTGTATTTTTATGCAATTATAAATGTGATTTTTAGAATATTTTTTCTTTCTGATAATTTTTAAATATGTATGCATTTTTATTTTTATGATTACACGAATCAAGAAATTTTTTATACATTTCTTCATTTAAATTCTATGAGAAAATATTATTTTTTTATTTATTGTTGACACTATTACAGATGTTCCCCATTCTCCCCCTGTATTCATCTCCACCCAACCTCTGCCCCCCAACTCTGGCAATCACCACACTGTTCTCTGTGTCCATGGGCTATGCACATATGTGCTTTGGAAAATCCCTTCACCTTATTTCATCCAGTCTTCCCAATCCCCCTCCTTTCTGACCTCTGTCAATCAGTTCCATGTATCCAGGCCTCTGGTTTTATTTTAATCATCAATTTATTTTGTTCATTAGATTTCACATAAAAATGAGATCATATGATATTTGTCTTTCTCTGCCTGGCTTATTTCACTTAACATAATACACTCCAGGTTCATTCGTGCTTTTGCAAAAGATAAGAGTTCCTTCTTTTTTACGGTTGCATAGTATTCCATTATGTAAATGTACCACAGGGTTGTTTTTTTTTATCCACTCATCTACTCATGGCACTGGGGCTGTTTCCAGATCTTAGCTATTGTAAATAATGCTGCTACAAACACAAGGTTACATATATTCATTCTGGTTGGTGTTTTGGGATTCTTAGGATATGGTCCCAGAAGTTGGATCTCTGGGTCAAAAAGCATTTCCATTTTTAATTTTTTAAGAAAACCCCATACTGTTTTTTCACAGTAGCTGCTCTAGCCTGCATTCCCACCAATAGTGTACTAGGGTTCCCTTTTATTCACATCCTCCCCAACACTTGTTTGTTGATTTATTGATGGTAGCCATTCTGACAGGTGTGAAGTAATATCTCATCATGGTTTTAATTTGCATCTCTCTGATGATTAGAGATGTTGAACATTTTTTAATATGTCTCTTGGTTATCTGTGTACCCTCTTTGATGAACTGTTTATTCAGGTCCTTTTGTCCATTTTTAAATTGGATTGTTTGTCCTCCTGGTGTTGAGTTGTATGAGTTCTTTATATATGTTAGAAATGAAGCCCTTAGCAAATGTATCATTGGCAATCAGTGGGTCATTTTTCCATTTTGTTGATGGTTTATTTTGCTGTATAGAAGCTTTTTAGTTTGAAGTAGTACCATTTGTTTATCTTTCCTTTGTTTCCCTTGCCCTAGGAGATGTATTGGCATGAATATTGTTACGAGAGATATCTGAAATTTTACTGCCTATGTTTTCTTCTAGAATTTTTATGGGTTTGACACTTACATTTAAGTCTTTTATCCAGTTTTAGTTCATTCTTGTGTATGGTATAAGTCAGTGGTCTAGTTTTTTTTTTTTGCATGTACCTGTACAATTTCCCCTACACCATTGATTGAAGAGACTGTCTTTACTCCATTGTATGCTCCTGCCTCCTTTGTCGAATATTAATTGACCATAATGGCGTGGGTGATATCAGGTCTTTCTGTTCTGTTTTATTGATCTATATGCCTATTCTTGTGCCAGTACCAGGTTGGACTGTTTTGATTACAGTGGTTTTGTAGTATAGTTTGATATCAGGTTTAGTGATCCCTCTAATTTTGTTCTTCTTTCTCAAGATTGCTCAGGCTAATCAGAAACTTTTTTGGTTCCATATAAATTTTTGGAATATTGGTTCTGTATCTGTGAAATATGTCATTGTTATTTTAATAAGGATTAATTGAATCTGTAGATTGCTTTGGGTAGTATGGAGATTTTAATGATGTTAATTCTTCCAATCTGTTAATATAGAATATTCTTCCACTTGTTTGCATCTTCCTCTATTTCTTTTTTCAATGTCCTATGGTTTTCTGAGTATAAGTTTATTATTGAGAGGTAATCATTTATTGCCATTTTTCTTTTTTTATTTAATTAATTAATTTTGTTACAAGTGTTTCTCCTTTTTTCCCCATTGACACCCTCCTCCTTTTCCCACTCCACCTCCAGCATCGTTGTCTATGTCCATTGGTTATGCTTATATGCATAAGTTTTTTGGTTTATCTCTTCCCTCCCCTCGTTCCCTCCTCTGAAGTTCATCAGGCTGAACCCTACTTGTATGTCTCTGGGCCTATTTTGTTCATCACCTTATTTTGTTCATTATATTCCACAAATAAGTGAGATTATGTGATACTTGTCTTTCTCTGACTGGCCTATTTCACTTAGCAGAATACTCTCCAGGTCCCTCCATGTCTTCTCAAAGGATAAGAGATCTTTCTTTTCTTTATACCTATGTTCCTCTCTCTATTTCTTCTTAAAGCAAACCCTTTAAAAATTATTGCAATGATGATTTGGTGGTAATGAACTCCTTTAGCCTTTATTTGTCCTTGGAAGCTCTTTGTTTTGCCTGCTATTTAAAATTATAGCCTTGCTGGATAGCATAGTCTTGCATGCAATTTCTTGCTTTCCATTACTTTGAATTCCCCATTTCAATCCCTTGTGGCCTGAAGTGCTTCTGTTGAGAAATCAGCTAACAGCCATATGCAGGCTCCCTTGTAGGAACTAACTGTTTCTCTCTTGTTGCCTTTAAAATTCTCTCTTTGTCTTTAACCTTTGCCGTTTAAATTATGATATGTCTTGGTGTGGGTCACTTTGGGTTCATCTTGATTGAGACTCTCTGTGCTTCTTGAACTTGTGTGACTTTTTTCTTTACCTAGTTAGGGAAGTTTTCTGTCACTATTTCTTTTTTTTTTTTCTTTATCCTCACCCAAGGACATTTTTCCATTTTTTTTTTTTTTCAGATAGAGCGGGAGGGAGAGAGAGGAAGAGAGAGAGAGAGAAACATCGATGTGAAGGGACACGTCGAGTGGCTGCCACCCGCACGACCAACCAGGGCCAGGGACAAACTGCAACCGAAGTACGTGCCCTTAGCGGGAACCGAACCCGGGTCTCTCTGTACCGCAGGCCGACACTCCAACCGCTGAGCCAAACCGGCCAGGGCTGTCACTATTTCTTTAAACAAGTTCTCTATCTTTTGCTCACTTTCTTCTTTTTCTGATATCTCTATGATGTGGATTTTGTTATGTTTCATATTGTCCCAAAGTTCCCTTAAGTTATCCTTATTCTTTTAATTCGTTTTTTCTTTTTGCTGCTCTTATAGGGTATTTTTCCTACCTTGTCTTCCAAATCACTGATCCAATCCTCTGCTTCATCCCACCTACTTTTTATTCCTTCCAGTGTATTCTTTATGTCATTCTTCATTTATGACTGGTTCTCTTTTCTGAATTTTTAATGTTGTCATAATTCTTACGAAGTTCCTTGAGGATTGTTATAGCCATTACTTTGAACTCTATATCTGATAAATTACTTGCCTTCATTTCATTTAGCTTTTTTCCCTGAAGACTCCTGTTCTTTCATTTGGGGACTGTTTCTTTGTCTCCCCATTTTGACTGTCTCTTTGTGTTTGTTTCTATGTATTAGATAGAATTGCTATGACTCCTGGTCATTGTGGGTGGCCTTTTGTAGTAGGTGTCCTTTGGGTTCTAGTGTTGCAGTCTCCTTGATCTCCTAGCTGGGTGCTCTAGGAACGTCCTTTGTGTAGGTTATGTGGGCTCTCCTGTTCTAATTGGGTCTTGATTGCTGTTGGCCCATTCATGGGTGAGACTGATCCTCAGGCTGGCTAACTGTGGAGCTCAGCCCCAACCATGGCATGCAAATGGCTGTGCAGGTGCAGTCTCAAGGTGTTTTGTTGGGCTTAGTAGCACACTCTTCCAGATCACCTTAGCTCTGTGCTCCAGGAATGTCTTTTGTAGGTTATGTCTACTCCCTGTTTTATTTGAGGCTTGAATGCTGTTGGCCCTTTTATGGTTGGAGTTAACCCTTCAGGCTAGGTGACGCTAGGAGTAAATCTCAATTACCATGTATTAGACACAGTACAGGTACTGCCCCCTGAGGAGGGGTTGTTCCTAGCAGGTTCTGGTGCCTGCTGGGATTCCCATTTGGGTGTGCTATTTGTGTGGCTAGTTGAGATGAGCTCTGGTATGGTCTGAAGCTTACCCTTGGTTGTGTTGCTTCTGGTCCACTGGTGTGGGTTTTAGGTACAGCTTGCTGTCTGCCACTGTTTGTGTATGAATCTAATAGACCTTCATGTGTGTGGGACAGGCCAATCTATGTAAAAGGGTCAGCTTCTTCCAGTTTCTAGCTGGGGGCAGATCTATGATAAGACTGAGGCTCTCTGTCACCTCCACCTGTCAGCTATTCCATCTCCCCTGTGAGGTTGCACTAAATGAGGCTAAATTAGTCCCTGCTACAAATCCAAATCACTCTGTATCTGCCAGTCTTTACCTGTAGTTCCTCCTAGGGGGGCTTGCTGTAGGTTCAGGTTGGGTACAGTCAGCTCACTCCTTTGCATCAGCAAACTCAGCCACTCTGGGCTCAGGGAGATAGATCAAAAGTCTTCTGTTGAGGATGATGCCAGCGCAGCCTGTAGGAAGTGGCTAAGCATTTTCTCCCAGTTCTGGACAGTAACCTCTGAGGGTCTCACACTTTGAATGTTCCATCACTGAACAGCAATCCCTTCCCCCAGGGAATTGTTTGAGCGGGGATATCCAGCACTGGGCAGGGCTGATTCAAACTGTCTCCCATTGGGAATGGTGCCTGAAACTTGTAGGAGAAGTGGGCAGGCACTTTCTCTGCTTCCCAGGGAAGCATGGGATCTGCCTCCCCACAGTGCAGCAACAGAGCCCAGCACTGGCCAGTATAGCTTCCAGAAAGGAGCCTCCCCAGAGACACAGTCCAAAAATGCCAGCTCTGCTCAGCTCATGGCACCCTTATGCCACCAAACCAAG